GGAACATCAACAGCAGCAACAGCAGCAGCAACAGCAGCAGCAGCAGCAGCAGAGAGCTCTTCTCGAGTTGCTGCAGAAAGCAAAGTAAGAATATGCGATGTCTTTTTGCTGCTGCTCAGTTGCTGTCTGTATCGATAGCCAGTAGACTGGCTCGGTAGCGTGCACATGCTGTGTGTTGCTGCTGTTGCTGCTGTGCTGCTGCTGCTGCTGCTGCTGGTTTTTGCTGCAGGCTCCTGCAGCAGCAGGCAGGAGAACTGGAGGAGGCTGTTGCTGCTGTGGAGCAGCAGGCAGCTTCTTGTCTCCCGCTTGAGCCGTTCTCTGCTGCAGGTGCAGCTGATATACAGGACGCAGGGGACTTGCTGCAGCAGCTGCAGCAGCAGCAGCAGCAGCAGCAGCAGCAGTTGCTGCTGCCGCCGCAGTTCGGGCTGCCTGCTGCTGCCACAGCAGCAGAACTCAAGCCTCACGGAGACACTTCTATGCTGCCGTTGGTGCAGCGGTTGCTGCAGGAGCACACAGCCACTCGCGCCCGCGAGGCAGCGGGTCGGCGTGCGTTGCTGCAGCAGCTGCAGCAGCAGCAGCAGCAGCAGCAGCAACCGCAGCAGCAGCAACAGCAGCAGCAGGGAGTCAGTTTCTTTGCAGCAACAGCAGCAGAACTGGAAGCAGCAGATGATAGCATAGGTCTCCACGCCAAAGGAGACAGCAGACTTGAGCAGGAGACAGAGCTCGACCTCGATTGGGAGACGCTGCCCAGCAGCCTTGATGAATACAGCAGCAGCAGCAGCAGCAGCAGAAGCAGGAGCAGCAGCAGAACCAGCAGCAGCAGCAGCGGTGATTTCTGCGCGAGGGAAACCAGAAGCAGCCGCAGGGGACGCCGGAGGTACCGTCGTGGCGGCAGCAGCAGCAGGAGCAGCAGCAGCAACAGCAGCAGGAGCAGCAGCAGCAGCAGCAGAAGAGATGCAATGGTTGACAGCGACAGCGATGCATTGGTGGGGGCTGAGGAGACAGGCGGA